CTGTGAAGTGTAGACAATAAAACATTTTACTTTCTCCCGAGAGCCCACTTACACATCATACTCACAGAAATATAACATTATATGGTGAAAAAAAAGGAAACAAAACCAAACTAACAGAACAAAAACAGTGGGAGAGGAGAAATTAAGGGTATGAAAAAGCAACTGCAAGCCTCATTAATCAGTCTACATCTTTGGAAAGGGAAGGTACTGGTATCCCTCTATCTCATGACTCAATGAATTTGCTTGCGGATTGTAGGTGTCTTAGGTAAACAGAAGAGACCCATCTAAGGGACAAAGTTTCTCTCTCACATAGGGGTGTAAATGATACATTAGTACTCGCAAGCTACTCGGGTTCGATTCGAAAAAAACTCGAATTCGGTTCGATTATTGTCGAGTCGAGCTCGAGCTCGAGTAGCTCGACTTATCGATCGAGCCGAATTCGAGTATTCTTATATCTGACTCGAGTAGCTCGCGAGCTTAATCGAGCTTTTATATTTAAATATATTTTTATTTTTTTTAATTAAAAAAATATTTCGAATCCGAGTTCGAGTTCGAGTTCGAGCATGAATAATCGAACTCTTGTCGAGTATACAAATCGAGCTTATTTTTACATATTAATCGAGCTTAATCGAGCGAGCTCGAGTAGCTCGAATTCGATCACGAATCGAGCTCGAGCTTGAAAAATAAAACTCGATCGAGCTCGAGCCGAGTATCGAGCCCCGAGTTGTGAGTCGAGCTCGAGCTCGAGCTTCTCACTACTCGGCTCGGCTCGGCTCGTTTACAGCCCTACTCTCACATACGCCTTTATTAATTATTATGGTACTATGATAGTTGGAAAGAAAAAGATGGACAACTTTTTTGTGCCAGGCAATTTCGTAAAAAAATAAAGACGACGGTTTAAAATTTTAATAAAAATTATATAAATTTGATAGTTAAAAAAATGTATTTAATGTATTAATACAAATTTAATTATTTATATTTTATTTATATTTTATATGATACAAATATAATATAAATACACAGGCCAGCAGGTACAAGATAGAGAGGGAAGGGCCAAATGATTGCGACACCTAGGGCCGATATGGGGCTAAGAAAGGTAAACTAGCAAGCCCAAGTTGAGAAGCATCAGTTCAGGGATTCTTTCGGGAACAATCATATTTACTTATTTTCTCAAAGGCCTTCCAACAATTTCAAGTACGAAGATAGTGAGTGGCCTACAATTTCAGGATTCATTTTTCTTTTTGATATAAAGGGGAATTTGATTAGAATTAGACTGTACAATTGTGGAGTCATAGACTCCAGGCATATCAGCACACAATTAAGTCACAATTTCAGGATTCAATGGCTAGTTTATGTTCTTTCCTGATTGTTGAAAGCTCCCTAGATTTGGTTCCATGAATTCACACTGGACAAAATATTCAAAGAATAAAAGGTCAAAATCCAAGAGTAATTGGCCAAGTGTTATTTGGTGATTGATCGTCGACTTTAGTCAGTCTGTCTTCCTATCTTTAATTTTCTCGTGTTGTAATTTTTTGTGTGAAATATAAACTATTGAGTTTTTAAATTTTTTATCTTATTCCTTCCAATCTTGATCAATCTATTATTCTATCACGGTCTCCATTGAAATAAGTGATATGTTTTATAATTATCACAATAATGGATCATCCGTATAGAAAAACTTATGAAATTATTAACAAATCATTGATTCACAAAAAAAAAATTATAAAATTGTTAATAAATCATTTGGCACCAAATAGAAATTGTAATAAAATTTACTGAAATTAATTATTATAATAAAAAATAAAAACTCCTTAAAAACTCAAAATCATTACGATATTATATATATATATGCATAAAACTTAAGAAGTAAGTAGGACTTATCTAGTTATTTATGAAACCATTATAATCATTCTTTGGTGAGAATCGTCCAATTTTCTTTTTTTTTTTATTTTTACATATTTTTATTTTCGGAACTTTATAACCATCACTCTCAAATACCTTGTATTTCTCCGTACAGATTCCAATATTGAAAATAGCAAAATAAGTCTAAATATTGTTGAATCCAAAAGATCTTTTGGAGATATCTTCTTGTTGGTGATGATCCCTTGCATCAATGGTAGTTTTGTTTTGGCACCAATATAGACAATAGTATGGTGCAAAATAATGGCTTGAAAACACACTTTTTGAGTCGTTTTTCTTTGGACTTATTTACCCCGACCAGTTATTGGGATGTAAAAGGGGTTGGTCAAATAATCTATGATATTCAATGAAAATTATTCCAAAAGTTGTGTCCTTTAATTTGCGTTGGTTTCTGTCAACAAACACAACACATCTTTTTAAATAATTACATAGGTTCGGTAAGTAGAATTTTGATTTCGAATTTTATAAATAAAAAAAATAAATTTAAAAATATTTATTATTTTATGAGATTTGATTCGATTTAATTTAAAATTAATTGAGATTTAAAATGATTATTGACACCGGAGGTTTCAAACAAAAAAAAAAATTACATAGGTAATTATTATTTTTTTTATCAGTGAAAGATTACCTATGAGTAGTTATAATTCATTACAAGAGAATCAGTGAAAGATTACCTATGAGTAGTTATAATTCATTACAAGAGAAACCATTTCTTGAGCTAGAACAGTCGACTCCACCTTAGAGAGACAGTCGTCTACCCATTTATATTCTCTAGTTCTAAAATGGTCTGAGAAAGAGGGCTGTTGATCTCCCTCATAGGCAGCCGACTTCCCGTCTATTCCAGAATGCTTCCTACACTAAGGCAATTGATTCGTTGTTAAGAGCAGTCGATTGCCTTGGTTAAGTTCTAGAACAGAAAACATTCCCAATCTTAACAGTCAATTGTCTTAGAGTAAACAATCAACTGGACTGATTTCCAGCCATAACAGTTGATTACTCTAGATTGACAGTCAACCGCTCCTTTTGTTATTTCTAAATAGAATATTTCCGAAAGTTTGATACATTTTCAAAGTGCGTGGCAGTCAACTGCTTTGGCATTGCAGTCAACTACTGCTTATGACTGTCGAATCCTCTATGTATGGTAAATCGTCTGCTTTCTTCACCATGGAACATTACTTAAGCTATTTATAGCTTAATTTAGTTTCTCTTTGATTAAGACCTTATACTTAATCAACAATCTTTCATATTTTGAAATATTTTTAACATTTGACTGGTTTTTCATCGGGTCTTAATTCCAGTAGTGATGCTATAGTTGTTGTGTTCAATCTGTCGAACAATTTTTGTATGGAACTCCGAATTTTTCATTAGAGATGTTCAAATTTATTTCTCTTTGGTGGCTATTTTCAAGGCAAGATAGTTAATGACAGTGAAAAATACTACTATCGACAAGAATTACCTTTAAGCTGTGCTGAAGCTGAAGAGTTTGGAGAATTGTAGACTGTTTTATATAGAAACAGGGCTAAGTTTTTAAAATACAGCCACCTCCTGCAGAATTCGAGTGGTGAAGCCGTGACGTTAAATTGTAGATCTAAGGTTCTCTAGTTTTTCTTCTTCTTTTTTTTAGTTTATTTTTATAAAACTAACTCGGTGGGGTTAAAAAGAAGGAAAAATATCATTTGGATGGGTTTTGATGGAGATCTGATGTTGGCTAAGGAGAGGGGAAGAAAAAATTAGGAAAAGATGTGAAGAGGGGAAGAAAAAATTATGGAATAAAAAAAATAAAGGAAATGGCCTGGCATTTTCAAAAAGGTGTTTTCAGATACGAAAATCCCTATCAGCAGTTTGTGTATAAAAAGTTTCGTCAGCAACCTAATGATAGAATGTTAATTCGGTTAGAATTTGGATTGAATATGTTCAAAGTTCAAAAAATAAAATAATTTTTTAAATTATAATTATAATCAAATATTATATTTATATAATTAAATATAATTATTAAATAATCATCTAATAAATTAAAATATAACTAAATAATCAAAACCATACACAAAAAAATTTAAATATAAAATTTCGAAATTTAAGAATCTTTTTCTTGTAATTAAGTTAAGGCATTATTAGCGAAAAAATAATAAATAAATAAAATAACTTGATTTATTTAAACTATTATACAATGATTAAATTCTGATTTTAGAAAGAATACAAAAGTTAATTTTATAATTGGCGTTAAATTTTTTATATTAATTTTTAAATTGGTTTGGTGTTACTTGACTCGTAACTTAAACTCAATTAAAGAGATTATAGTAAGTGTAAATTTTCATCAAGTATAACTACAGCGAGATAGTTGTTTTTTTTTCTTAGATTTGATTTGATGTCTTATTGCACGTTAAAAAACAAATCGTCCATGTCGAAATATTCTACACAAGTGATGAAATCATTAGAATTTTTATTCTTTCTATTTTGATCATCCCATTTAAAAGGTAAGCATGATTGAGAGGCAAAGGGTTACTTGGTCAAAACTACAAATGGTATGCGAAATTCTAGATTATATGCCATTCTTTTATAGATGTATATGAATTACAAAATACCACTTTGTAAATAGATTAAATCTTTCTTAAAGACTGAAGCTTCATTTTTAGAGTTAGCATCGAGTCGGGTTCAAAACGGGATTTGCTTGTCCCGAACTCGATCCGACATTATGTGTTATTAAATTCGAATTTGATCTTACTCAAATTTTTTTTTGTTTTTTCATACTCGAATCCGATTTCGATTCGATACTATATAAATCGTATTCGATCCCGATTTAAAATTAATAAAATATTATTTTTTAAATAAAAATATTTAAAAATATCATTGTATAAATATATATAAATAAAAAATTAAATAATTAATTAAAAAATAATTTTTTATATAATATCGAGTTGGGTCAGATCAGATTTGCTTAAAACTCAAATCCAACCCGATTTAAAACTCGAATTAAAAAAAAAAATCAATTTTGTAAGATCGAGTCTAATCGTAACCTGTCAATGATGAATTAAATGAAATCCTCTCACCAAACTCAAACTTGCATTTTATGATTGGACTCTTAATTTGTTGATTCGGATGAATATAGTTTTTCTTTTGAAATCTTTATCCAAAATAAAATGCTTCTCAAAATTCGATTAAAAGGGCAAATAAATGCCCAATCAGATAGCCGGTTAATGTATACATCCTATACATCATAAACGGCTCTGAACCCTGAAGCCAAACGAGAAGCGGGTAAAAAACTATTTTCTCACACATCCAAACGCGGATCTCAAGCGTCGTTTAAAATGAAATTCCACAAACTTCTTGCTCCCAATTCCCGCGCTTATAAATCTCAGGTCCTTTGTTAATTCACTGCCATTTCAAATCAAAATCTCTCTCTTTTTTTCTTTCGCACGTGAAAAAAAAAAACAGAAATACTCTGCTGCAACGAAGATGATCGCTACTCTAAAGTAAGTTGAATATTTCTTTCACATGTTCTTGTTCTTCCATTTTCTTCTTTCGTTTGAATAATATTGCATGAAAATCAGAGCTGAAGAAGCGAGCCAGTTACAGCTGGTGGAGCGAGAAGATATCGACGACGAAGAGGATTTGTTTGAAGCCATCGACAAATGTAAACTATTTTGATCCTTTAGATTCTCACTTTTTCTGTTTAAGATTTGTGATTCTAAGTTTCTGAGCTATTCTTTTTTTTTTTTTCTTTTGATTATTTTTATTCGAATTGAGATCGTTTTGAAGATTTTTTTTTGTTTTTATCATTTCTGTTGTCTGCGATTTCTTCATGTTCTCGTATCAGCTTGTTAACTTTCTTATCTTCATTTTGATCTTTTCTTTTTGATAATTTGGATCGTGTGTTTGCGATTTGAAGCTAGTACATAGTTGTTCTTTTTGGAGATTCACGATTTTAAGTGAATTAGCTTGATTTGCTCCAGTATTCTCGAAGTTTTTATTTTCTTTCTTTTGAGCTTCAGTTCTGCCTTCTGTTATTCTCTGTTTTAACTTAGCTGTAAATCTAAGCATGCTTCTTTGATGTCACTTGCAAAATCGTTGTTGAAATATATGAATTTGAACATTTATCTTTCTTTTTTATGTCATCACATTTCATTATTCCACTAAGATCATTTAGATTTGTAGTGTTTTTCAATGCTTTTATGAGATGCTCAACAAGCTTTTCAGTATATTGGATTTGAACAAGAATTTTTTTTTGTGCAGTGATATCTGCAGGAATCAATGCCGGAGACGTGAAGAAGCTTCAAGATGCAGGGATCTACACCTGTAATGGCTTGATGATGCACACTAAGAAGGTAAATTCAAATTTCAATTCAAAATAATTGGAGTTTTTAATTTTACGGTAGGAATTTCTATTTTTCTTTTTTAGATTATTATCATCTTCAATTTTTTGCAGCAATTGACTGGAATCAAAGGTTTATCTGAAGCTAAGGTTGACAAGATCTGTGAAGCAGCAGAGAAGATAGTGGTTAGTTGAATTCATTTCATTGATTTAGTATTTTTTTTTTCTTTTGTCAAATTTCTGATTTGTACCTTTTTTTTTTCATGGTTTGTTTCCTCAGAATGTTGGTTATATCACTGGAAGTGATGCTTTAATAAGAGTAAGTTTAAATTTCATGTTTTCTTTTTCTTTTTCTCATTTCATGTTTTCTGGTGAAAATAAATGTGATAGGGGACATTCTTATTTTTGGCTTTGCAGAGAAAATCTGTGATTCGCATAACAACTGGAAGCCAAGCCCTTGATGAACTCTTAGGCGGTAATGCTATTTGACAAAGATTTCATTACTGTTTATATATTTATGAGAGTTCTCTATAAATGATCATATGCCTAAACTTTTAAAGGTGGCATAGAAACTCTGGCTATCACAGAAGCTTTTGGAGAATTCAGGTGAGAATGGCAGTGATATTTTGCTTCTATAGATTACCACTATAGTACTATAATATAATATTTACCTGTTGAAATCTTTCCTGCTGTTTGATGCCTACTCTAATGCATCATTGAATTGCCTGCTAATCTTCTTTGTTAATTTTAGGTCGGGCAAAACACAGCTGGCACATACTCTATGCGTTTCTACACAGGTTCCTTTCTCACCTTTATGATCCATGATTGTGAGATCTTTATTAATCCTTAGAAATTGGGGATGTAAGAAAAAGGAAGAGAGTTAACCCTGCAAAATCAACTCCAAACGACCTGTGTTGTTTGGTTGATTTTGGAGGAGATTCAGTTTGTCCCAAATTGATTCTTCGAATAAGAAAATCTTGCAAAGGTTTAGCATAGGAAATGATTAATATGCCATACGTCTGAGTCATAAAAATACGTAACAAATCACATTTGTTCACTTACCCCTGGATTTGTTTTCAGTATAAGGCAGGACTGCAGGAGTATAAATAACGTCTCCCACATAAATTGAAATATTATCTGTCAACCAAAGAATTTTTTTCAAGTGCTGGTATACAGAACATAGATTATGTGGCAAAAACATTATGCTCCGCGGATGGTATTGCTTTAGTTCAATTAGCTTACCATATTTTGATAAACAGATTGAACTTTGCTGATGAGATATTTATCTTGCCATTGGAGCTTCCTACAAACATGCGAGGTGGGAATGGGAAAGTGGCTTACATTGATACTGAAGGAACTTTGTATCCTTTCTGTTCCGTTAATTTTTCAAGTTACCTATTATAGTTTCTCTGGTGTGAGAAGCTAACTAAAATAAGAGTATTATCTTCAATAATTCCAAACTATATTTACTGTGTTTTCTTCAACTACATGGACTTGCAGTCGGCCTGATCGAATTATACCCATAGCCGAAAGATTTGGGATGGACCCAGGAGCTGTTCTTGACAATGTAAGCATCAATATCAGTATAACCTCAATTGAATTTGTAGAAACAGATGTTAAATATTGCTTATTTTCTATTTTGGCAAAGATCGTTTATGCTCGTGCATACACATATGAGCATCAGTACAATCTACTTCTTGGTTTGGCTGCAAAAATGTCTGAAGAACCATTCAGACTTCTGGTAAGTCTCGTTGAAAGAATCTTGCTATAATGCTGATATTGTGGATTGTGTTTGATGATGTTGTTTACGCTCATATTTTCAGATTGTGGATTCTGTTATTGCTCTATTTCGAGTAGATTTCACAGGGCGAGGAGAACTTGCAGAGCGCCAGGTTTATCTTGAAAAAGCCTATTACCACTTAAATATGTAAAACTTTGCTTGAGTCGATTCTCTTTCATCACATTAACCTTTTTCCATTTTCAGCAAAAATTGGCTCAGATGCTCTCCCGATTGACAAAAATAGCTGAAGAATTCAATGTTGCAGTCTACATGACCAACCAAGGTATGTTAGGTCCAACCAGTCTGTTAACCTCCTCAGTTAATTGATATTTTCCTGAGGTAAAACTGTAAGTCGAGAACAATTTATTCTAATTTTGCAAGCTGGGCCCAAAGTTCAGGTCCGTCACTGGACTATATAAATGGTTTGTTTGTGACAGTTATTGCCGACCCTAGTGGCGGAGTGTTTATATCAGATCCAAAGAAACCTGCCGGAGGACACGTACTTGCTCATGCGGCCACGATAAGGTTGATGTTCAGGAAAGGCAAAGGTGAACAACGCGTGTGCAAGGTGTTTGATGCCCCAAACCTGCCTGAAACTGAAGCAATATCCTTACGTTGCCTTAGCTTAGTGTTTTTCTGATTGTCCCGAAAAACCCATATTGTTTGATCATGATGGCCAAACTCAAAATGACTCGCCAGTCACCAGCATGGTTCATCATGGTTAGCGACTATAATGAAGACTCCTAGCATTGCTTGTAGCAAATATTATCTTAGCTTGGTTTTTTAAGTTTCCTTGGGTGTTTTTGCTTTAACACCGACCACACGAAGACTTAATTATCCTTGACAGAAGCAGGTCTTTCAGATAACACCCGGGGGCATTGCAGATGCAAAGGACTGACTCGGAGGTGAGAAACCAAGATTGGCAGCTACACCAGACCGGCCGAAGTAATATACCAACATTTTCTAACCATCGAACAACATGTTTTGTTTAATTGACAGCTTATAGTCATTCCTCTTAGCACGCAAGTTGCAGGTAAAGGATTTGCCTTCCCTTTCTATAATCCAAGTCTTTTATATGGGTTGACAACGTATAAGAATATCTAGCAACATTTCCTTTACAAAGAAGTAAGAAATGTGAGTAGTAGAAAAGCAACGTGAACAAAATTCCATCGCTTTTAGAAAAAGCATTTATGACAAGAAATATTTCCATGTTATGTACCATGTCAAGCTCAGTTTTGATGGTAAGCAAACATGCACAGCTTCATAAAATGCCTGTCTTAGTTTGTAAACAGGGACAGCAATTCTAGAGCTTGAATGCCCAACTAATTCAGCCAAGTCATTAGGAATTGAAAACTAAGAAAAATGGATAAAACCGGGAGGCTGACTAATACCAAAAGACTTGGTGAATAGGAGCATTTCTAAGCTTAGTAGTGCGCAGACCAGTTTGCAGCACTTCCAACTTTTTTCATTCCAGTAGATTCCTTCTTTGCCTCTGCATCCACACTGAAAGTTGCACCACAAACATGACCCGAACTGTCCACCCTTGGCACAGGCTTCAACTCATTAAGGGGGTGCTCGAAGCTCCTTAACCCTCCAGAGGATGTGAAGAAGCACCCTGGAAAAAGAAATGGAGGAAACGCAAAACATCAGCAATAAACTTCTCATGCTCCAAAATTTAGATAATCATCCTAGTTAGAACCACTATAATAAAGAACAAACTAAATGGCATGCATCGAGACCAGGAAATAGATAGATCAACTCTGATTTAAATCTGTCTCTGAAAAATAAGAAAGAATAATTATGATAGAAAAACAATAAAGGAAACAAATGTGAAAAGTTATATTATGCATATTTATCCATTGAAATCTGTATGCCACCCAAATCTCCCATTCGTCCTAGATTTTGTTCAATTTCGATTTCACATTGATTTTTGCTATGTCATTCTACACTAGTCTCAAAATCCACTTCCAAGCATGTTTTAATCTTCACCACAAGTCTGTTTCCACCAATTTTTTCTACCTACTTGTGCCCAACAAGATCACTTGGAATGAAAGTCAAGGGGGCCTAAGCTTGTCAAATGACTTACTAATTGAAAATAAATTAGGATATCCCCCTTATAGTTTTACCTTTTGGGAATGGAGCAAAAGACTTCCCACAGCCCTTCTTGACAGTCTCCCCATCATCTGCAAGAACAAGATGGCCTTCAGCATCAGTTCCCCAGAAGAAAGGTACACTTCCATCAGCATCCTGCATAATACAAGGTAAAAATACTGCATCATAAGGAAGAAAAAACTTAACGATAAAATCAAACATAAAGACATCCATTGCATTGGCTGACAAAATTAGGTTTACTTACAGAAGCTATAAATGTGGCTTTTGAAGAGCTATCGTAGAGAATGAAAGCAAACTTTCCCTGGATATCTCTTACAACCTGGTCAGGAGGGTAAGGACCTCTATCTCTGAGCGTTCTGTATGCTTCAATAACAATGATTCCCTCATTTGCTGTTTTGCTCAAACCATATTGTTGCTTAAGAAGAGCAACATTCCCTATGTGGCCTTGAAACAAGCAGAAAATGTCATCCACAACTGCAAACAGCCTGGGACAATAAACGCAAAAATATCAAAATGTCAATTTCTGAATCTCTGTTGCATTGTGAAAACAAGAAAAGAAAAGAACAAACTTGTAAACTTTCTCGTTATAACGAATCTTGACTTTAGGAAATACTTAAACATAAGTTATGACGTTATACAGTATGAACCGGCTTTCCAGGAAAAGTGAGTTAAATAAACTAAACAAATTATGCAGAATCCAATGGTCGGTTCAAAAATGCAGAACAGCGTCAATATAATGATCACGTTTGATCCAATAACCAAACAAATAACCGACAGCCTAATCATTTAAAATACTAGAATAAAATAAATCCAATCAAGCTAATCTTTCCCAAAACCATTACATTAGATCTTTAGTTTTGAACCATACTCAATGTCTATATCCCATGGTAGAATAAAAATAAATCAGTCCTTATAAGTCGTCGAATTAAAGAAAAAAAGAAACAAAAGATTTGAAAGCTTTATCATAAAAGAATCCGCATCATACACGATTCAATGACACAATTGTTCTCAAATAGTTCTAGAAAACAGAAGACAACTTAAAATCTAGCAAGATATTCATCAATTACCAGCAAAGAGCCATTAATGCAAATTATTCTTTTCTTTGGATATTTCATTTTCTTTTTCCCTTCCCGGAAAGCAAACAGTGAAAGAGTAATTGCATTTATAAATCACAATTTTAAAAAATAACAGAACAACCAAAAAATCTCAAGAATTGTGAAAAGAAAAGAAGATCTAACAAGCAAATCAAACAAATCAATAATCAAAAAAAATCTTTGCACCACATTATGAGCCATACAAAACATCATCATCGTCACAAGAAACAAGAGAAAAAAGAGCATAGAAACAAAAAAAAATCCATAAATGATCTGGATTAGATCAGTCAAAAACCACCAGACAAAAAAGAGAAAAATACCCAAAAATGAAATCTTGAGCATGATAGAAACAGACGAAAAAAAGAGAAGTTTTACCTAGGTAGAAGTGGGTTCTGCTTTTCAAGAGAGTAAGCCATGACACCAGAAGAGCCAAGATTGATGATGACAGAACCAGGATGAACAGAGGCAAAGTGGTTAGCCAAGAAGCCATTTTTGAGAGCAGAAACTGCCTCAGAGTGATCAGGAGCGTTAAGAGCATCTGGGCTCTTGGCAACCGACTTGTCAAAAACTGCTAGCATTTTTTTTCCCTTTGTTTGCAAAGATCCAAAACTTTCACAGGAACAAAACCAAAACGAGGTTCTTGATCTATCTTTGATTGATGATGTGATATGATAGAAATCGGTGATGTGGCGAATATGAAGAATAGGAAGCCTGGGTGAAATTTCTGACGCTTAATAACAGTTTAAGGCAGTTTTTTCATTTCCAATATTGCCCTTTTGTTTAATGCTGAAGACTGAATATTTTTCTGCGTACTACACCAGAAAAAAAAAAAATTCTAAAGTTAACATATTTCTAATTCTACGAAAATGGTTGTCCTATATCCTATTCTCATATTGCAATTGAATAAATGAGATAAAATTTATTAATTTTTAATAACATTAATTTTATTTTAAAATAAAAAAATTATATTTTTGATACATGAAAATATTTTTTAAACTACTATATTATAATTTTTTAGAAAAATATTTTAAATAAGTTCAAATCTTAATGTGTAAATTTAATTATTTAATTAAATTATAATTTATTCATTAATTATTTAGTGATATAATAAATGATTATATGAATATAATGTGTGATTATAAGTTTAATTATGAGTATAATGTAAAAAACATTTATTATTAAAATATTATTTTAAAAAATAAAATAAATACATATTATTTTAAGAAATCAAATTACATTAAATGTAGAATATGATTAGGAGTATTAATCATTAATTGAAGATATTTTTTAAATGAATAGGATTGATCATAGGATTCATTTTGTATATAATGTATTTAAAATTTTATTTTTAAAATATTTTCACATTAAATGAATATATTTTATTCGCTAAACACTTCTCACATTTAATAAAAATATCTTCCTATAATGATAATAATTTAAGAAGTGTTTTAAAAATTAATTTTAAAAGATTAATAATTAAGCTAAAAAATAAATGAAAATTAATTAATTAATGTTTAATGCTCAATATTCCATGATTTATGGGCATAATTTTTTATGAAAAGTATTGACTGATTCTAGCAAGCACAATTACAGAACCAATTAAATATAATTTTTTTGACCAAATCATAGTTAAAGAATAGAAGGATAGTTTCGGAATTGAGCTATATAACACACGACGTTGATCCAAAGCAAATGGCTAAAATAAAAAACGGTGCGTGGCAAGTGGCGGTGGGCACAGTCACATACTTATCATAAAAAGGGAAACGAAAGAGAATTAAATATAAAATAAAATGGTTTTGAGAAAGTTGATGCCTCCTTGGAATTAGAATATATAAATTTTTTTAAAGCCTCATCGAAATTAAAAAAAAAAAAAAACAAATGGCTAAAATTCAAAAGGTACAAAAGTCAATGACTTGAATGTGGAGATAAATCTGCAGCATTTCTTTACTACTTTCTAGAAATCTTCAGAATTAGATGTCCAGATTTTTTTTTTCTCCCATTTCAGCAATGCTAGTCCAAATTTTATTTTTTTAAAATAATTAAGAGTTAACAAAGTTCTGTTCCCCATGATTCCTAACGCTTCTCTCCACTTGCCATTATAGATAAAAAGGAAGTTTAGTCCGTGAATTATTAACTTTTAACAAAGGATGTGATTTTGAAAAAAAAATAATATTAAAAAAGAATATATATTTTTTAATTTTATTAATTAAAAAAATATAAAATTTTTATATTTAAGTTTAAAGGATGTAAGATTATTTAATAAAGTTTTTTATTATATTATTTTTTATGATATATGAATAATATATGGTATTTATAATATGTTATTTTTATTAAAATTAAAAAATTTTGATTTTTTTATATTTTTAATAAATATAATTTTATAATCTTAATTATTATTTCTATGTTGATTGTTTGTATGTAGAGAAAATACCATACTGACATTTGCGATAAGATCGATGGGGGTTGTAAAAAGATGGTAAATCCCACCCTAAGGGTTTTAAGGGACAAAGCTTCAAGAATAAATTTTATAAGTAATAATATCATGTAAATATATTTTAAATTTATATATTATAATATAAGTAAAATATTTTATATTTTATTTTAATTTTATTATGGGTAGCAATATTTATTATGTTTTTATTTTAAAAAATAATTTTTGTTAAAATTTTATAATTTTAAAAATAAAATTTCAACATATATTATGTTTTTTATCTTAAAAATATGATCTTTATTAAAATTTCATAATTTTGAAAAAAAAATTTAACATCTGCAACATTTTTTATATTAAAAACTTAGTCTTTGTTAAAGTTTTAGAATTATGAAATTTCAACATCTTTTACGCTTTTCATATTAAAAATATGATTTTTGTTAAAATTTCATAATTTCAAAATTTCAACATCCATTACATTTTGTATATTTTAAAAATACGATATTTGTTAAAATTTTGAAATTTTAAAAATAAAATTTCAACATTCATTACATTTCTTATCTTTAAAATGTAATTTTTATTAAATTACATAATTTTGAAATTTTCACGTCCACTATATTTTTTATATTAAAAACATGATCTTTGTTAAAATTTCATAATAAGTTTTAGCATCACTATGTTTTTTATTTTAAGAATGTGATCTTTGTTAATATTTTAAAATTTCAAAAATAAAATTTCAACATCTATTATATTTCTTATCTTAAACATACGATAAAATTTCATAATTTCAAAAATATATTTTATCTTCTCTATCATTTACATATTTGATTTTTAAATTTTAAAGATTTAAATAATATATCTGTATGATATTCAATAATTGCATTATTGTTATAAATGTAATAATTTATTTTTTATTGGATAATTCAAAATCAATTGTAAAACTAAATACAAATTTCTAAATCAAACTTAATATTTTAATAAATAATTAATTTAAATTATATTTTTAAAAAATAAAATTTAAACATGGTCATTGTTAGGTGTTAATAAATAAAACTTAGAATGCCTTTTGAATGTCAGTTTGTGTCTTGGTTTATTATACAATTTTTTTATCGTAAAGGATAAAATAATCATAAAACTCATTTATTTATGCAAAAGTGAGATAAATTTTATAATCTATAAAGAATCTTAGAAAACTTCAAGGAAAAGAGAGTTTATGATTTATGATTATTTTTCTTTTTTGATACTGTTAAAAATCTTTAAAAACTCCATGAATTACATTAGGAAGCCAAACATAAGAATCACATTACGAAAAGTAAAATTTTTAAAAAGAATCTTACTTTTTCTTAAACCAAATACCTGATAAGAGATTTTAAAGATTTTTTTTTATTTATTCAAGTTAATTCATTTATGTCAAATTTAATAAATGATCAAAAATTATTTTTTATAATTTCTTAATAAATTTTAATTTAAAACAACAAAAAGAAATTGAACTCAAAGACAACAAAAAAAAAAAAATCTTTTACTATTTGAACCATTAATACTTTGTTTAAATAGACTACTCTTATTATATTATTACTAAGGTGGAAGCCCGGTTCTGCCTGGTTTCTTTTAAATTTTTATTTTTTTGGTTTGTACCTTAAAATCTTTGAAAAGATAATAAAAGAACTGGTTATTGGTTTAGGTAAAAACATTTAAAGATATAGTGTGTATTCTCTTATATTGTACAAAGTATAAATGATTTGAGACTGTAATGAAATAAAGTTAAATTAAATTATAGGTAAAATAGAGATAGTAATATAAAAATGGGTAAGAAACAAAAGTATGAACCAAACAAAGAGTTCATACACGTCATGTTTACAATATAATGAAATAGAGTGCATCAATACATCAAATGGATTTATAATGCAATGAAATAGAGTAAGTTGATATTGGACAATCAAATATAACATTAACAAGAAAAAAAACATTTTGATAAAACTACAATACAACAAAAATGTTTGATCTAGACCAAAATAAGAACATGCATAGGTTGTCTAATATCCTAATATAAAGAAAAAAGTGACCAAAGAAGTAATTTTTGAAGGTTTTATTTCATAAAAGGGAACCTAAAAATGTAGGTGGACAACGATAATAATATTGAAATTTAGGTAATTTTGTTTATGAATATCATTCAAGAAACAAACAAACATAACATTCTAAGCACATAAAAACTACAAGTATTCGAGAAACTAAAGAAATAAAGATAGATCTAATGATTTGTTCAACAGATGATGCATGCATGTTCTTATTTTTATCATCATTGAAATACAACATGGTTAGACATAAGCAAAAAAGTGACTTTTACAAATGAAAGCGAGGAAATCATCTTAAAATTTTCAAGAATTGTACAAACTTGACATACGAATATAAAAACGAATTAAGAAAAAAATGTTTGTTTTTTTATGGTTGTATTTAGAAAGAATTAAAAAAAATGAATTAAAAATACACTTAGGACAACAAAATTAAAAGCAACAAATAGTTTTTTGAAACGGCAACCAACAAACAATAGCACAAAAAAAGATAATTCATTAATATAACACAAAACAAATGAGCCATACTAAATTATCAATGAATAAGATATATTAGATTTATGTTACTTATGTGTTCATTCAATCTTCTTCTCATTGGACCTCAACTCAATTGCTTTTCACCTTTTAACCCAAGTCACATACCATGCATCTTACCTTCACACATTAAGACATAAAAATAGAACTAAGCGAAATATAAATTCATCACTCACATATGTCAATCAAGGGAAAAATCGACAACTGATAGATAAATTAAAGCTCACCATAAAATCTTGTGCAACCATCCTCACACACACCAAATCCATTAACAAAGCTTTTAGGACACAAATTAAAAGCATTCACATCTATGCCAGAACAAAAAATAACTTTGGAATAGCTAGCTGAACCATCAAACTCTAATTGTTATGTCTTTATTTTCACCATTTGAGCAATTGAAGTATTACTAATAATATACGTAGAACTATTTTGCACAACTATTGTAATTTTTCATTAACATCAATAGTGGAATGTAATGATATATAAGGTTGATATTCATTATTTGTAGTGTAACTTAACGACACATTTCATGAAACAACGCTAACAGAACCTATTGAATTATGACCAAAACTTGCAATATTTTTCATGTAACCCTTATATCATCAGATTTTAGAATTCTCTTACCTTTGGCCTAACCAAAACCTCTATAATTTATGGATTGACCAACAATAGGTTGAGAACATTCACCTAAAGTACTATTACGTTGCTTTCTTAACCTATTAGACCTAAGTGTTTCTAACCTTCTAATCATATTATCT